AAAAAAAAAAAAAAAATAATACCTGTAGCCAGGGTTTCTGTGTTCTAGAATAGCCTGGATCCAGAGGCAAGATGTGTAGTGGAACAATGGCCTGGCTCTGGAGTTACGCTGCCTGAATTCTCACTTTCTTTTATACCCATCCACATACACACATGTAAAAGACAGGGTCTCGCTATGTTGCCCAGGCTAGTCTTAAACTCCTGCCTTGGCCTCCCCAAAGTGTTAGGATTACAGGCATGAGTCACCGTGCCCGGCCTCTCACTTTCTTCTACTTTCCCATCTCTGTTTCCTCAAATGCAAAAATGGGCAAAATACTATCACCTACCTCTTGGTAGTGTCGTGAAAATTCAGTGACTTCACATGATCATTTTGGAGGGCTGGAATTAATCTGCCGAAAATACGGCGATGTCAGAAATGATAACAGAAGACAGCTACTCCCAGACAAGGGAGGGAACTCTGTTCCTGGGTGCTGGGGACCAGGCCTTTACGTTGGGGCGGGTCTCCACGGTCAGGGTGGGCGAGGCAGCTGACGTTCTGGCCTCTTTCCTCCCATCCTAGAGGTGGCCTACATCGGCACCCAGCACCCCCAGCACAAGGCGGCAGTGCTGATGTGCCTGGCGGCGGGCAAGGCGGTCCTGTGCGAGAAGCCCCTGGGCGTGAACGCGGCGGAAGTCCGTGAGATGGTGGCCGAGGCCCGATCCCGAGGCCTCTTCCTTATGGAGGTGAAGGCAGAGGGACTTACCATTACGAAATATGCTTGCTGGTGGTGGAAGGAGTACAGGAAAGTGTTTGCCAACAGTCAAGATGGCCGCAAAAATAAAGGGGAGGCGTGGGGGGTTGATGGGGAATGGTGGGGGAGGTGTCGGTTAGTGCATTTGCCAGAATGTATCTGAATCTACCCACAACATCTATGACGGTGGAAACCATTGTTTTGGGTCCTTAGCCAACATCGCAAGGCTTAAATTGCTTGGATCTTTTGTCAGCCTTTAAGAAAAAAGATGTCCCAGTGCAGTGGCTCATGCCTGTAATCCCAGCAGTTTGGGAGGCCAAGGCGAGAGGATTGCTTGAGCCCAGGAGTTCGAGACTAGCCTGGGCAACATAGCGAGACCTCATCTCTAAAAAATATAAAAATAAATTAACCAGGTATAGGCAGGGCACGGTGGCTCATGCCTATAATTCCAGCACTTTTTGGGAGGCCGAGGCTAGAGGATTGCCTGAGCCTACAGGTTCGAGACCAGCCTGGGCAGCTTGGCGAGGCCTCATCTCTACAATAAACCAAAAAATTAAGAGGGAGTGGTGGCATGTGCCTGTAGTTCCAGCTACCTGGAAGGCTGAGGCGGAAGAATTGCCTGAGCCCAGCAGATCGAGGCTACGGTGACTGTGAGTGTGCCATTGCACTCCAGTCTGGGCAACAGAGTGAGACGCCGACTCAAAAAAAAAATTAGCCAGGTGTAATGACATGCCCCTGTGATCCCAGCTACCCGGGAGGCTGAAGCAAGAGGATTGCCTGAGCCCAAGAGGTAGAGGATGTGGTGATCTGTAATCATGTCACTGCACTCCAGCCTGGGTGACAGAAGATTATTCTGACTCAAAAAAAAAAAAGAGAAAAAGATGCCAATAGTAACAGTGGCCCCAGAATGGCAATGGGCTTAGTCTTGGTGATTTCCAGGAACAGGTTGGAAGGACCAAGGAATCCCCATCAGCACTCAAGCCACATTTGCTTTGCCCTTATCAGATTTGCCTCCTCTAGGGTTCAGGAGATTGCCAGTAATTAAGATGGCCACCAAGTGGCAATGGACAGTGCCAGCAGTTAAGATGGCTACCAAATGGCACCTAGAAGCCATTTCCATCCTAGGGAATACTATAGGTCTTAAATACATTGCTATAGATTCTGCCAGTAGTAGCAATGTCTATCATGAACTTCCTTCCCTACCACCTGTCTAACTGTCGTAGGCTCAAGATTGCTGAGCCTCCCAGTCTGCAAAGTTTCATATGCCAGAAGAAGTAGAGAGTCGAGATTAAATATGATTACTCAGTGCCTTCTGCTTCTCACTGTTTCTTGCCAGTGTCCAAATTCTGTGAGTTTGTCGCCTCTTCATTTATATTGGCACCTCTGATCCTATATTAGGAACTGGGAACTGACAATGTTTAAGATACAGGCTTAGTTTTTGAGGAGCTCAAGGTCCCAATGCTCAGCTGCAAAAACTTTAGTGGACATAGTCTAGTCAGTTGACAAAGTGCAGAGCCCCCCACTCAGTCTGGGGGATGATCTGGGAGGTTTCCTGCACGCAGGGACTGAGCTGAACCTTGAAGGATGAGTAAACTGCACAGGTAAATAGGGCCATGGAGGGAAAACAGGGTGAACCTTAAAGAAAACAGGAATAGGCCAGGCTTGGTGGCTCAGCCTGTAATCCCAGCACTTTGGGAGGCTGAGGCGAGTGGATTGCCTGAGCCCAGGGGTTCAAGACCCACCCCGGCACCTTGGCGAGACCTCATTTCTACAGTAAATTTTAAAAATGAGCCAGGCGTGGTAGCGCGTGCCTGTAGTTCCAGCTACTTGGAAGGGTGAGACGGAAGGATCGCCAAAGCCCAGCAGGTCAACACTGGGGTGACCGTGAGTGTGCCACTGCACTCCAGTCTGGGTGACAGAGCGAGTCTCCAACTAAAAAAAAAAATAAAAAAATAACAGGAATATGCAGATGTCATGTGTTTAGCATGAACTTGACCTTGGACAAATGATTCTAGTTACCAGTTCTCTACTTCCTAGTTGTATGACCTTAGGAAAATAATTTGACTCAACTGAGCCTCAGTTTTCTCATCAATAAAATAGACACAATGATAGCCACTTAGCAGGGATGTTGGGAGGGCTCATTATGCAAAGCACATACACAGTGTCTTGGTCATAGATGGGTACTGAGCAGGGGTGAGACAGGGTCAGCTCTAGGAGAAGGAACATGTAGAGGATGGACTGCCGGCAACAGACTGGGTGAACTGAATTGGTTTACTAGCGCTAATATAAAAAAATATTATGATTACTGGGTGGCTTAAATAATGGAAATGTGTTTTCTTGCAATTGCAGAGGGTGGAGGTCTGAGATCAAGGTGTCAGCGGGACTGGTTTCTTCTGAAGTCTCTTTCCTTGCTTAGTAGGTGTCTGTCTTCTCCCTGTATCTTTTTTTTTTTTCTTTTTTGAGTCAGAGTCGCACTCTGTCACCCAGGCTGGAGTACAGTAGCTACAGTGGCATGTTCATGGCCACCACATCCTTGACCTGCTGGGTTCAGGCGATCTTTCCGCCTCAGCTTTCCAAGTAGCTGGATCTACAGGCATGTACCACCATGCCCAGCTAATTTTTTTATTTATTGTAGAGATGAGGTCTTGAACGTATGGCCTCAGGCAATCCTTTTGCCTCTGCCTCCCAATGTGCTAGGATTATGGGCGTGAGCCACTGCACCCAGCCCTCCTGTGTCTTCATATGGTTTTCTCCTTATGTGTCTGTGTCTCTTCTTCTTATAAGGATGCCCACCAGTGTGATGGCTCATACGTTAAGAGGCAGAGGCAAGAGGATTGCCTGAGCCCAGGAGTTTGACACCAGCCTGGGCATGTTGGCAAGACCTCATCTCTACAATAAATCAAAAAATTAGCCAGACATAGTGGCACATGCCTGTAATTCCAGCTACTTGGAAGACTGAGGCAGAAGGATCGCCTGAGCCCAGCAGGTCATGGCTATGGTGGCCATGAGCATGCCACTGCACTCCAGTCTGGGCGATAGAGTGAGACTCTGACTCAAAAAAAAAAAAAAAAGGACAGCTGCCATATGGATTCAGGCCCACCCTAAGGATCTCAGTTTAACATAATTACCTATCTGTAAAGCTTATCTCCAAATAGTCACCCTTAGAGGTACTGCAGTTAAGACTTCAGCATCAGGCCAGGCCTGGTGACTCAGCCTGTAATCCCAGCACTTTGGGAGACCGAGGCAAGTGGATTGCCTGAGCCCGCGGGTTCAAGACCCACCCAGGCAACTTGGCGAGACCTCATCTCTACCATGAGAACCAAAAAATTAGTCTGGCATGGTAGCATGCGCCTATAGTTCCAGCAACTTGGAAGACTGAGGCAGAAGGACCCCATGTCTACAAAAAAAAAGAAAAAAGAAAAGAAAGAAGGTGACCCCAGAAAGGAGAAGAACTGCTTGGTGGACTCCATGGTCCTGACTCTCTCCCTTCTTTTTTTTTTTTTTTTTTTT